ATATCAAAATATGTGTTGTAACACTTAGTCAAATTTCTGAAAACAGAATCTTCGCTCGAGCGCAAGTTTGGTCACTCGAGCAGACTACAAAATTCTATGAAACTTCTGGGAGCTCTCATTTTATGCTCAAGCGCAATTCTGGTTGCTTAAGCCAAGGTTCAAAAACAGGCACGGTCCCTCGAGCGCAGGTTCTCTCGCTCGAGCGGATGCTCATGTCTGCAAAAGTACTGGGAGCATGAATTTGATACTCGAACCGAATTTTGGTCGCTCAAGCGAAAATGTGAAACAAAGAGTGGTCGCTCGAGCGCAGGTTCTATCACTCGAGCGATAATACAAAATTTTGAAATTTCCAGATTGATGTTCAAGATGTAAAACTCAATGTCAAAGCTTTAAAACACATCATTTGGGCTCAAAACTTGAGAAAACATGTCTAAACTTGTAAAACATCAAGAATTAAGGATCATTTCGCAAAATCAAGGCCCAAAAGTAAATCAATTGTTCAAAATTCAACTTGAAACTTTCAAAGCATAACATGCATGACTTGTCATGAACTCAAACCTTCCAAAACATGATCAAATGAGGTAAGATGATGAGAAACTTGATAAATTCTTAAAACAAAGCCAAGATAGACACATGCATGTGAGATTTGTTTGAAATTCAAACTAAAAGTGTGAGGAAAAAGCATGCATGCATGACATGATCTTCCTTCCTATTTCATAAGCTCAATTCTTGTATTACTCAACTTAATTCTCTAGAGTTCATGTCCTTGATAACGTAATTATATAATCTAAGGGTTGAATTCTTACCTAGGCTTTCCAAAGTGAGCTCTAAAGGCTTAATCCTTGAGTTTCTAAGTCCAAACCCTTGAATTCCCTACAATTCTTCTTTCCTTCCTTGAATTCAACTCTTTCTAGGCTTCTCTCTCTCTCTCTCTCTCTCTCTCTCTCTCTCATGTTTTGAGTTCAAGAAGATGATGAAATGCTAGTGCCTAACATAATCTAGAGTCAATTGTGCCTTATATAGGCTTAATTAGGTTACATTAATTAGTTTGAGTTAAGAATAATTAGTTAGCATTATTTTATTCTAATTAATTGGTTTTGAATCGAATTTCAATCAAACCTATCATAAAATTCCAAAAATTCCAAATAACACATAAACCAAGTCAATTTGGTGATCAGATGCTGATAAGGCCTTCAATTCGCATAATGACACAGAAACACAGACAGATTTGCCTACGCCAAACAGATATAAACACATATAACACAATACGTATGCAATGCCCCCAAAATAATACAATGATTTCAACCCATAAGTGGAAAGATAATTGAAATAATATACTTTCATTCATCAGAGTCCATATACAAAAGATAACACATGCGATATATATTCACAGACTATTCATCATGAATCTACAACATGTTTTGCAATGATAAAAGAACTGAAAACTAAATAGATAATCATATGTCCTATAGGCTTACATCTTTCCAAGTCATTGCTTGGTTACAACAAAAGTGAGCCTAGCTCAATACAATTAAAGCCCTTGGCTACACAAAAAGAATACAACAAAAGAAAGAAGCTCTTGCTCCCAAACGTCCCTCCAAGCTATTGCCTTGGTAGAGGTATATCACCAACACCTGAAAATGGTTTTCCCCAAATAGGGTGAACCAAAACCCAGTAAGAACAATCTAACACAATCTATGAGATTTAACGAAGATATAAGCATGAGGTGCATTTACAATGCCAGTAGTAAAACATTCATATTCTGTATAGTCATAAAGTACCAAAGTTCATATCTCAATCCTTTTTCTTTCTCATCAGTTCAAGGTAAATCACTTCATCTCAATTTATGAGCCAATTTCATTATCTTTCAAACAACCCATTTGAGACTATAACTCAGTGGTTCCCAAATTAACACAATCATCACACAAGCACTTCAATTTGCCATTTTACAAAAATTTCGTCCATGGGATCGGCACCCATGTATACGTGAAGTTTTGGGACTTTTCACCCAGGACACACAGGCCACCTTAGTTCAATGGAATCCATCTCCTATCTCCTCCCAAACAATTGATTACATCCTCTTTCTCCTCCCAAACAATCATACATATACAATGTATTTAAAACTTAGTCATATTCAATGGCAATCAACAAAAGATTAGTTTTAATTTACCTAACCCTCTTCAATTTCTACAACAAGCATATATATCCTCCACCGATAACCCAATACAGATATTTCTAAACAAACATTCAATCTCATGACAGATAATTTATTCAAATTTCCATGGGTATGAGGTGATATATATTTCCAACTCCACCATTTATTTCAATATTCATCCAATTTCATCTTTACAACACCAATTCCATTTATTTATACAAAATAAATATTTAAACCATTTTAGGGCGAACTCCATTTTTTCCCAATATCAACCCAAAGGCCAAAATCAACTAGTGTAACCCAATATAACCTCATTTTCAAACCCCATGACTATTTATATTACCTTCACTAGAAACCCCTCTTTTGATTTTTCATCTCAAACCCTAGGTTTGTCCAAAATACTCCCAAAACCCACCATTATTACACAACAACCAATAACTAAGTTAAAAATCATAAGAAGGTGTAGCAAATCCCTATCTCAAGCTTAGAAGACCAAAACGACAAGGGAGAAACTTCAAAGATGTCGAAACCAACTTTTACTCGAATCAAAATGGAGCTCTTGAGACGCTCTACCTTTTTCTCAAAGGCACTAGGGTGAAGATCCCAATGGATCTAGGTAAAAATGTAGAGAGAATGTGAGTTTTAGAGAGAGAGCCTCAAGATCTAGGTTTTTGGAAACTTTCAGAGAGAGAGAGAGGAATGAAAAAGTGAACTAAAAAGTCGTCTTCATGGACTGATATACACGCAGTCCGCTCGAGCGCAAAAAGTGAAGCTCGAGCGCAAAATACACATTTTCAGAAGTTTTGCAGACGAAGGACATCGCTCGAGCTCAAGATTGGCCGCTCGAGCATCCACCTGCTGGAGCGTAAGAAATGCCGCTCGAGCATAGAATACACTCCTCTAGTATTTTGTAGGTCTACAAAAATACTGAGAGTTTACAAAGCCCACCTGAGCGCAAGAAGTGCTGCTTGAGTGGAGGGGCAAAAATCTGGACAACAAAGGTTCAAAAATCAAACAACCAACCTGATCTAAACAAGGCCAATACAATCCAACAACCAAATTTATGGAAGAATAAGGGGGAAAAGACATGAACAACCATACGAGGCTACGAAATCCGAGTCCAAAATATAAAATGGGTCGAGCCTAAACCAGAAACGCTATAAGCTCCCCCCTTAAGGAATTTTGTTCCTGAAATTTTGAATCAAGTTCAAAATCAGTATTAAACCATCCACACAATGTTAATCTAAAAAGTTTAGCACCATGACCCACTCTCCGGCCATCCATTCTCATCAACTCGATACACGAGTTCCAATATTGAAAGTACAATTTACAATTTTCCCAAAACATTTACAATGTTTAAATCAAAATCCAAGTTTTCAAAATTTACACAGCATATATAATGCTTCCAAAAATGATACAACACACAAGATATTCCATATTCTCAAAACATATGCAATGCTTATATTGAATCGATGTTTCCAAACACCCCATGACATATACAATGTTCTTGTGTTTTAAAACATATACAATGTTTTTACATTTCATTAGGATAATCAAAATCTCAACATATATTCAAACACCAACAAATAAGTCTGGATATTTCTCTCGGACTTCCAATTCACATTCCCAAGTTGCTTCCTCAACTCCGTGATGTTTCCACAATACCTTAACCAAAGAGATTGTCTTGCCTCACAAAACTTGGTCCCGTGTATCCAAGACTCTCACCGGTCTCTCCTCAAACAGGGCATCCTCATCTTCCTCTAAGTCGATCCAATCCAACACGTGCGATGGATCCGGCTCATACTTCCAAGCATGCTAATATGAAACACATCACGAACCCCATAAAACTATGGCAGTAACGCCAAACGGTAAGCTACCTCTCCGATCCGCTCAAGGATCTCAAAAGGCCAAATAAATTGAGGGGACAACTTCCCACTCTTCCCAAATCTCATTAAACGCTGCCTAGGTGATATCTTCCAAAAGACATAATCTCCTACCTTAAAAGACAAGGGTCTCCTCCTACGGTTGGCGTAACTTTTTAGCGACTTTGAGCCGTACCTAAACTTTTACGGATAAGTGCCACTTTCTCCGTCACTTCCCGAACCAACTCCGGTCCCAACAAAGGTGCATCACCCACCTCGGCCCAAAACACCGGAGATCTACACGGTCGGCCATACAAATCCTCAAACGGTGTCATGCCAATACTCGATTGGATGCTATTATTATAATAAAATTCCACTAAGGGACAATGCCTCTCCCACGATCCCTTGAAGTCAATGACGCAACCTCGATCCTCAAGGATTTGAATAGTACACTTGAACTGCCCGTCAGTCTGAGGGTGGTACTCAGTGCCAAAGGTCAATTTAGTGTCCAAGGCACTCTACAAGCTCTGCCACAACTGAGATGTGAAACGCAGATCTCTATCCGAAACAAGCATCACAGGGACCCCATGTGGCCTCACTATGTCCCTAATGTACAGGTCGGCAAGATAATCTATTGAATCCCCCACGCGCATAGATATAAAGTGCACAGACTTGGTTAACTAGTCCACTACTACCCAAATGGCATCACTACTCCGTTGAGTTCTCAGAAGGCCCACAACAAAATCCATCGTGGCATGCTCCCACTTCCACTTGGCTATAGGCAAAGGTTGTAACAAACCCACTGACCTCTGATGCTCGACCTTCACTTGCTGACAAGTAAGGCATTTTGACACAAACACGGCTACATCCTTGTTCATACCTCTCCACCAAAATTCTTGCAATCCGTCATTTTGATTCTTTTAAACCAAAATATTTTCCAGATACAGTCTTTGTTAAAAAAAAATGCATAATTTGAAATGCAGGTTTCGCCATTGGTGGAACGGTTGTTTTGGCGAGTAGCTCTTGGTTGTACTGGGATTTTAGGAAAAGAAAGCTCATCAAGCTTAGAGAACAATTCTTTAGGCAGAATGGTAGATTGATGTTACAACAACAACTCTCTAGACAAGACAAAATGACACAGGAATTGATTAAAATCTTCACTTCAAAAGAGCTCAAGTAGGCTACCAACAACTATGATGAGAGTAAAATTGCTGGCCAAGGAGGTTTTGAATAGTTTACAAGGGAATTCTACCAGAAAACAAGATAGTGGCTATTAAGAAATCCCAAATGATGGATGAAAGTCAAATAGAGCAATTCATCAATGAGTTGGTCGTGCTGTCACATATCAATCACAGGAATGTGGTCAAACTCTTAGGTTGTTGTTTGGAAACTCAAGTCCCTTTACTTGTCTATGAATTCATCACCAATGGCACTCTCTTTGAGCATATACATAATCAAGGCAAGGCATCTAATATATCATGATAAAATCGTTTGCAAATAGCCGTAGAAACTACTGGAGTACTGTCATATTTGCACTCTGCAGCGTTGATTCCTATCACCCATAGAGATGTTAAGTCTACAAATATACTCTTAGATGATAATTACACTGCAAAAGTGTCGGACATTGGAGCATCAAGGTTGGTTCCACTCGACCAAAATCAATTAGCCACAGTGGTGCAAGGAACTCTTGGATACTTAGACCCTGAATACATGCTCACAAGCTAGCTAACTGAGAAAAGTGATGTTTATAGCTTTGGAGTAGTCCTTGTAGAGTTAATCACTGGAAAGAAGGCATTGTCATTCAACAGGCCAGAAGATGAGATAAATCTGGCTATGTATTTTATTACTTGTATGAACGATGATTGCTTGAACCAAATTATTGATGAACACATGGTAATTGAAGGAAACACCGAGGAGCTCAAAGAAGTTGCTAATCTTGCAAAGAGATGCTTGACAGTAAAAGGCGAGGAAAGGCCTTACATGAAGGAAGTAGTGATGGAATTGAAGGGGTTGATCTGGAAAAAGATATCTAAAAATAGTTTGAATTATGCAGAGACTGAGAACATGCTTGGTAAGGCATCAATTGGATATGCAGTTGGAGTTTATATAAGCAACACAACAACAGCTGGGGTTGATAGCATGGTGGAAGATATGCTATTGCATAGTGGGAGGTGATTTGATTGTTTTGTGTTTGTCCGTGATGACAACAACTTCATTGATGATTGTTACACTTGCATATAAGTGATGAATTCTTTTAAATTTCTTGTACTTTCTTATGTAACAGTTTGTTAGTGACTCACTCACTTTTCATTAATCTTGTCCGTTCATATCATTTTGTGTCATATTTTGAGTTTTATATTTCTAGACTTATCAGAATAAATGAAATAAATAAAATTTTATAGAATTTGTTAGTGGGATTCACTTATGAAATTATTGTCCATCCATATGAATTCAATGTCATGTTGTGATATCATTTTATGTGTTTCTAAAAAATAATTATTGAGATACTTCATAATATACGAGGAGAATTTCATATATAAATGGCAAATGGGAAAAGTAATTATAAATTCATATAATGCAGGTGAAAATTGTATCTCTCACTTACACTGGGCACTGTGCCTGTAGGTAAGAGCAGTAGTACATGTGAGTGAGAGGCAAAAATAAGAAATTTACAATGAAACATTCACCAGGAATATATATATATATAATAATAATAAAATATCTATATAATAAGGTAGGAAGGTTTTTGAATTTTCTCTAATGTAGAAAATTTGTCCTACGTGACATTTGCTATCAATGGTTGAGAAATATGGTGGAAGATTCAATGGTTCAGATTTGCTTCACCTAGACAAATTTTTGCCCACTACTCCTCTCACTATCCCACTCCTAATCTCTCTCACCCCTGGCACCAGACCTCCTCTCTTCAGTTTCTTCCTTTTTCTCAGAACTACTTTTCCTCTCTCTTAACCTCTCTCCCACCACAGGTCACCTACGTCCTTCCCAACTTCGGCTACTATAAACCCTCTCTCCCACTTCACCACCGCACCACCCATCCCCGATTGCCATAATTTTCTCCTCCGGTTGATTCTAGGCACACCACCCATCTCCCTAAGGGCTTCGTTCTTACTCTTGAAGTTTGATTTTGAAGAAGGTTAGTTTAGTTCTACTTTATCTCTATCTCTCTCTTCTCTTCTCTACTTTTGGAATTTTAATTTGAGTTTAAAAGTTTTAGAATATTTTTCATGTACAAAATTTCAATTTTTGATTTGGATATATTATCAAAACTCTGAATATGTGTCATACAATCTGAAAATTCCAAAAGCGAAATATAATTGTTCTTTTTTTAGTAGTCAATTATATTATAACAATCATTTTGTTGTTATAATGGGAGGTTTTACAAAAAGTGTGTTAGGGGTGTTCACGGTCGAGTCGGACAGGGTTTGACATGCATTTGTCACCTGAACCAACCATCTCAGGTTGGCTATGCAAGAATCTAATTCCGACTAGCTAGATGCTCACAACCGAACATGTTCGGGTTAAATAGTTTTGGTCGAAATGTTGAAACTGACCAATCTCCATCACATTGTAGATCTAGCCCAAAAAATAAAAGAAGAAATTTTAACTACTACATATATTTTTTAGATGAGAATGAAAAAAAAAAAAAGGAGAAAGAGACCTAATTTTTGAGAAGAAGAGCTTTGGGTGAGAGAGAGAGAGAGACAGAGAGAGAAGTGTGAAGGCAGAATAGAAAGGTGAAGCTTTAGGGAGAAAGGAGAAAGAAAGAAAGAAAAAAAGGAATGAAAGAGGAGATTGTAATGACAGAGAAGAGAAAATGAGATCTGAGATATAGAAGCAACAACAAAGTGATCTCTAATGGCAAACGCAGGGAAAAGTAGCGTCGGCATTGGTGGTGAGGCGGTGGAAAGCAACGTTGGCGTCGGTTGTGAGGCAGTCGTGAAAAGCAACAACAGTGGCCAAGTGGGGTTCTATTCTAACTAGTCTTTATCAACTAAAATGAAAATATGAGAACAGGTCTTGAAAATGAAAAGAAAATGTAATGATGATAGGGAGACGGAACAGGTGAATGAAGTGTCATTATGATAGCCTAGGAAGATGGAAGTTTAAATAAAATAAGGTGAAAAGTTGCTTAAAATAAAAATTGTTTAAGAGCTCTAAAACAATGAGCTCTAACCGCTCTAAATACATTGTAACTCCAATTGATTTGATGTTTTGTTCTTTTTTTTTCTTTTATTTATTTATTATTTTTTGCACTGCCAACTCATTAGAGCTGGCTTAGTACTCTCTTTTTAATGGTATGTATCACCACTATTAATAATATTTTTATAATTTTTTTTATTTAAAATATTTTTTTATGTGTGTTAAAAAAAAATTCTCAAAATTCAGGGACACGTGAACCCCTGGCATTCACTCTCTCCGCCACTGTATACAAGCATCAAAAGTCAAATGTAAAAGCGGTACCAAAATTATATATATATATGGCTTACCTGATAGGAATGAGATGAGAAAAGGAAGGGATCAGAAGTCAAGCTTTAGTACACCCCTCAACACCATCTATTATTGGACCCTTACTCCTCTCGTAGCAGCACCATCCACTCGCTATTTATGCAGATCAACGACAATGTGTAGTGCATCTGAAGTAGGGAAATGGCAATAGGTGGTGTATCTGAGGGAGAGGTGGCAGCAGGTGGTCAATCTGAGGGTAGGAGGTAGCGATGGTTTGGTCGATTTGTCGAAGAGGGTGGTTGCAGAAGGCGGGAGTTGGTCAGAAGAATGGGTAGATGTGAAGAAATTATTTGAAATTGTAGGTTTTTTTCTGTTAGAGAATGGGTCAGCAGGTCCTTTCTTCATCTTCCTTTCTCTGTTCATATTCTGCAACATGAATTTTAATTTTTTTTTTAATTTTTTAAATTTTGTCTAAATCAGAACTACACCGTTTCTTTACCTAGGAATTGCTCAATTAAGGAGACCAAATAAATCTTTCAAAAAAAAAAAAAAAAAAAGAGACCAAATAGAAATAGATGTAGGGTTTACATTGTATACGGGTTTAAGTTGTTGAAATTAAAGTTTTAGGGTTTAATTTGAAAAAAACACAAAAAACTATTGGGTTTTTATGTAATTACAAAACAATTACAGTGGATTCCAACAACCTACCAGCATTAGTTAGAGCATCTCTAACGGTTCATCAAAATTTTCATCAAATTTGAGTAAAAAAGTGACTTTTTTCTCATTCGATACAGAGGGCTCCAATGGTTCATCAAATCAAATTTTCATCAAATCTGCATTGGGACAACCAGTTGGTCGACCAGTGAAGGCAAAATTTTTTTTTTTTTGAATTGTTTGAACCTTTTTAGCGAACTGTCTGAACCTTTTTCCGGGACGACCGGTTGGTCGATCGGCCAGTCGATGTCGACCGGTAAGGCAATTTTTTTTTTTTTGAACTGTTTGAACTTTTTTTTGAACTGTTTGAACCCTTTAGTGGTCGACCAGTTGGTCAACCGGCTGGTCGACCGATTGGTTTCCCCCAACGGTCAGGAACAGTGATTTGGTAAAATGCTGCGCCTATTCTCATTTTGGTGAAAGGTTTGGTGAATTCTCGATTTGATATCGATTTGGTGAAACCGTTGGAGCTCAAAAAAGTGGCTTTTTCACCAAATTTTAAATTTGATGCCAGATTTGGTGAAACGTTGGAGATGGTCTTACACATGCAATATCACACCATGTGTGTATGTATGTTCAATTCAAATCTTTCAAGTCTATTGCAGGCTTCCAAGTTCCATCCACGTTCAAGCGATCTCTAATCTCCAATGAAGCATTATCAAAATGGCATCTTGATGCCTAAATTTTGATAGTGTTACATAGGGTTTACGTTTTAGCTTAGTTCATTTGTTACATAAAAATAAATTAACAAAAGCTCAATTTTTAGGATTATTTAGCAATCAAGCCGAATTTTGGTAGATCTGCTCGATAAGGCTTGATGCACATAAATAGCACATGTCTAGCCTGCCAAAGCAACCTTACCCGAAAATTTGGCTTTAGGCCAAAACCAATAGTCTAGCCTAGCGACCAACTGAACAGGAGGGTCGAATAGTAGCCAAGCAGGGATGGCCTAGGATAAGGGCATGTGATGGGGTCTAGAGTTGTCCCATGTTCATAATTGCTTGCCAACATTCAAGGAACTACTCAAATGGAAAGTGTCATGTGGTGTCCCCTAATTAGGCCAAGCGTAGAACCACTCTCATCGCTTGCCAACAATCATGTAACTACTCAAATGGAAGGTGTCGTATGGTGTCCCCTAATTAGGCCAAGCTTAATAGAACCACTCTCACAAGTCACATAGAAGACACTTATAAAAGATATGGATCACATGTATATATAAGGGAAGTAGGCCATATGAGAAGGTACCCAATCTAATTCCTAAAACCCTAATTTTCCATTGTTTTCTTCCAAAAAGTATTCTCTAACTTGAATATCAAAGGGCCCTTGATAAAACATCTACTGGTGTGTCCAAATGAATAATTTTGCAGGAAACAAAAAAAGAAGGATCAACCTCTCCCCACATAGCCAACCTCCATTCACCCTGTATCATAAGGCAGCCATTTACTTATGATCGAAGTTCGTAAACACAAGTATATAAATTAATATTCGATAATAATATATCAAATATATTTTCTTAATTTATTTATTTCTTTATTTGTATGTGGTATTTGTGCAAGTTTATGAATTTGATTGTCGAGGTTTATTATTCATATAAGCATCATGCTTTTATATTTTCTTTATAATTTTGTATTTTTTCTTTTAAAATCAAAGTTGAGCTTTAGTTTTTCAAATATTTGACGAGCTAAGCTTGAGCTCAAATTTTTGAGCTTGACTTAAGCTCAGCTTGAGCTCAACTAATTTCTAGCAAGGCAAGATCGAATATCCTAAAGTTTGGCTTGACTTAGCTCGTTTACACCCAGTACTAATATGTCATAATTTGGCAACCATGCTTCAATTGTGTAAATGTCATTTGTTCTATTTCTTCCACAAAAAACCCATTACAAATGGCATTTGCTGGCCTATTATGTAGAGACAACGGTTCTTGCTAAATTGTGACAATTGTCAAATCTTGTCCTAATTTTGGCACAAGATTTTGCAATTGCCAAAATTTGACAGCCCAATGGAGAGCGACAATTTTAGTGTTATGCCCAAATTTGACTTTGACAACCCCTCACAAGTTGTGTTGGAGAAGCTTTAATTGTTTGAAAAAATGGCAGCGAAGCTTCATTAATGGCCTACAGTTAAAAGGCCCATCACCAATGTTTTGTTGTCATCTATATTATTATATAAAGCACACAATTCAAAACTTGAAGCTTTGCCACGGTTTTTTGTTTTATAAGAATGATCATAAAAATGTTTACTGTTTAAACTCCAATAACTAACTGTTAAACAGTTTTCAAATTTAACCCAACCATCCAAAAGTATAGATTTACAATGGCAAACACATTGAGTTTTCAAACATCACTACCTTGATCCCATCAAAGCTACTGGTCTGATTCCAATTTGAACATAAAGATATGGAGAAACGAGGCTTTGCAAGTAAGGATTGATCACTTCAAATTCTTAAGAACATAGACACTTGAGGCTTGAAGAACATAATTCATTTCATTTCATTTCATTCATGGCACGCAAATCTGGAGATGTATTTTTCTTTTTTATTGACATAACAAAACCAGGTCTTAAACCCTTTTACAAGCCATGTAGTGAGGCAAAGATTCTCAAAAAACCAGCACGATAGAAGTCATACTGTGTAAATGCTGACAAAAAAAACCAGATCTAATGGTTTTTATCAGGTTTTTTGTGGACAACAATAAATTTTTTCATGTCAGCATAAACATTCCTAACTGCCTGACAAAATCTTCAATATGGACGAGTTTTCATCAATGTCCAATCAGATATAATGCTCAGAACATATTAAAAATGCAAATGGTTTATCATCAATTTTTGTAATGCTTCAACCTCATACATAGTGCTTTGTAAACTTGATCTCACATATTTTAGAAAGCAAAAGCAGCACGAATGCATCGCAACAGTTATGTAGAATTTTTGCTACACATTAAAGAAGATGCTAATACATATAACAATTTCGTCCAAAAGAAGACGGCAAGGAGAAGGGAAAAAAACAATATATTTGGACAGGATTCACAAAGATCAACTGCGACTAAGTAGTAAATTACACAATCAATTACCAACAATTTTTATCATTCCAGCAAACACGAGGTAGATTACAAATCAGATTGCCGTCATTAACCCTTAAGGGATTTGTTCAGATTTACTCATGAGCTGCAAAATTGAATCCGCTTTTCTTTGACCTCTATTAGTCCCATTCTTCGAAAGGTCAACCACGTCGGCATACACACCATACTGAAGAGCAGCCAACATGAGATTCGTATTCCTTGAACCCAACTCAAGAAGCAGCGCTGCTGAACATTCCTTATTCTTGGGGGTCCCATCTTTGATGAAATCAACAAGCGTTTCAATAACCGAGAGCTGTCCAATATCTCTCCTCCCATCTATGTGCGATGCAAGAAGTAGCAACAATGAGAGGGACTCATTAACCATGTCCAAATTGTTGTCCTTAAGTAATTGAAGTAAAGGTGCAACAATCCCAGCCTCAATGGCCCTAGCCTTATTCGCTTGGCTTAGCGATAAGTTAAATAAAGCAGTGACAGCGTCTTTTTTACCTCTAATTGTCCCATTCTGTAACAATTCAACCAATGGTGGGATACCATTTGATAACCCAATAATCGCTTTGTTCTCATCAAGCATCGATAAGCTGAATAAAGCTGCTGCTGAGTTCTCTTTGGCCCCTATAGTTCCGTTCTTCAAGATCTCGACAATGGATGGAATGGGTTCTTCTCTAGATATGAGTTTCTTGTTTGATTCATCAATTGACAAATTTAATAGAGCTGTCACGGCATGTTCTTGAATTTTAGAATCTGGGTAGGAAAGGAGTTGAACTAATGGTGGTATTCCACCGCCGTTGGCTATTAAAATTCTGCTCTCTGGACTCTCTTTGGAGACCATACGGATCTTCCTCACAGCCTTTCTCTGCTCTTCTAACTTATTGGAGGATAAGTTTCGAACCATGGATGAGATCTCATCGTTGGGTTCCATAGTGGAGCTCTCCAAGTTTGCAGGATCCTCTTGTTTTGGAAGAGGAAATTTGTTCTTCTCACACCACTGCAAAATTAAATTCCGGAGAGCAAAGTTTGGTGCTAGTGACAAGTGAGCCAAAAGTTGCCCGCTTTTCGGGCAGGTTCGATGATCAGAATCCAACCACTTCTGTATGCTTTCTCTTTCATATGTCTGCAATGGATGACAATTAAAACCAGAAGTTATTTTAGAATTTGTGTAAAATTAAGAAAACTAACATCCTACTTAGTGCTCAATAAAATATGGGAGATAGATCAGAAGAATCTGCTGAAAAAGAAAACATGAGGCGAATTTGCCTTGTCTAGGACTTTTAGCTCTTAAATTATGTCAAATTTCTTTACTTTCTACATCCATCTTGAGTAGAGAATTCTATTTTTTTATTTTATTTTTAAATTCCAAATAGAGAAGTAAGACAATTTTTATAAGGTTTTTTTAATATAAATTTTGGCTAATTTTCGTCTTTAATGGACTTTTTTCAAAATTGACTCACCTTTTTTCTAGTCAAGATGGACATAAAAAGTAGAAAAAGAATTGGCTCCAAGTTGAAAAAAGTTCAAAAAAGACAAAAATATTGTAAAAAATAAGTTGACATTTTAGTTTTATCCACATGAATATTTAAGCAGTGAAGAAAAGATTTGTATTGCCACATATGGGTTTACCTGTCCAGTTGCAACAATAACGGGGTGTGTCATTATTTCTAGTGTAATGGGACACAGAAATTCATTAGGGATTGCCAGAGATGGGCACTTTGCAAGAGCTTTAGGCACAGCAGGATCATCATGAACACCGGTGTCTTCAACTCCTGCAATTTGTTTGCATTTGCTCAAAAGATTGATGATTTGCTGGTTAGCTTCTGTATTTTGTGCTCTTTCTTTAACAAGCTTCCTTACAGCTATTGTTTCCGCCCTTAGGTCCTCAATGGTATGTAAAGCGAGCTTGTTTGCAAGCCTTTCTATGCTGGCGCTGTCTGCATTCCTTTCATCCTTTGTCGATAACAATACCATCATATCCATTGCAACTTCCATATCTTGAGTTTCGGTTCGCCTCTTTGCTCTCCTAAGTTGCATACGCATTAGCTCAACCTGGAAAATGAGTTAAAATTATATTTCAAGCCAAATGAATATTAGTTAAATTGCAGAAATATTAGCCAATTTTCTACATGTCAACCTATTAGCAACTGAACCCTAAACAGTCCCATAATTTTCTACATGCCAACCTACATGTCAGCCAATTTTCTACACAGTTGGTTCTTCTATTTTGGGATAAAGCCCATAATCTTTGTATAACATTTGCATACAGTTGGTTATTCTATTTTTGGACAAAGCCACATAATCTTTATACAAACTTTGCATAGTTTTTTTTGTTAACCAACTTCAAACTTCTCTGCTCATATATTTCTCGAAGCACTCTCGTCGTTTGAGACAATGGAATTCTTGAAACACACAATAACATACTTATTGTAAAAATTATATGTTCGACAATGAACTTGATCAATAATAAATTCTAGTTCATTATTTTAAATTCACATGCCTCTAGGCCTTGGGTTGGGTGATAAATAGGTACGATAGGGTTGGGATATGTTAGCTTCAATTTTGCCTAACACCAGTTTACCACATTCTCAAAAAAAAGGGTAGAGCATGCAATAAAAAGAAGAAACAAAACCAAGATAACAACATCATTATCAATTCATATTAAGCTAATAATAATGTGAGAGGAAAGCATACTTGTTCTTTCACTTCCTCTGAAATGCCAATTTCTGTATATGGCATACCCTCCAAAGCTTGATTCAATTTTTCATAAACGGAATGAAATCTGATCATGAAATCCTCGCTCTCTAGTGCCTGAATTAGAAAAGCAACAGGTCTATGAGATCAAAAATCAAGAATTTCTAATTCGTTTATGCTGTTTTTGATCTTGTCTGATGGAAAAGAAATGGGAACACAAAAATAAAATAAAATAAAAAAGCTTCTACTTCTTCACTTTTCCCATTTACCCTCAGTTTATTTGGGCGAAAAACAGTTTTTGT